AATATAAAAAATAAAAATAACTGGGGCGGGGAAATAGCTCAGTAAAATAAGCACTTGCCTGGCAAGTGCAAGGTCTTGAGTTCAATCCCCTGTACCGCAAAAAAAAAAAAAAAAAAAAAAAAAAAATCTTAAGTAATACAAAGTTATTTTCAAAATAAGAAAGGTTTATATAAGTCATTAATATTTCAGTTACAAAGTCATAAAAACAGGAGAAAAGGCCACTTATCCCTCAAACTCTATAATGCCTTGTATATCTTGTTTTATTAATAAACACGATTTTTAAAAATTATTAAAAATATTTTATTTATTTATTTATTTGGTACCAGGTCTGGAAAGGCAGCTTGGACTCATAGTGATCCTCCTGTGTCAGCCTCCACAGCATTGGGATTACAGGTATGCACCACCACATCCAGTTTGGGTGGCCAGCACTGGGCGCCTGGGGTTCTGGGTCTGGCATGACATGTAGTACCAGAGATCAAACCTGGATCCTTGTGCTTGCCAGGCAGGTGCTTAGACTGCACAGTTATCTCCCCAATCCCAATAAACATGATTTTTGTTTTTTCTTCTTTGAGAGAGGATCTTGCCTTGAATATAAATATGATCATTAATCTATTCTTCTAAATCATATGTGGCATACAACCTTATCTTTCAAGCCTCTATTATATTCTACTAAAGAGGTAACACTGCCAAACACCTGGCAATCCATCTGTAAAATACCCCAAGGACTGCCAGGAATAACAAAAAAGTTATTCCAGCTTGTAGGATATAAAATTAGTCTATTCTGAGTTGGGTGTGGTGTCACACACCTGTAATCTCAGCCCTTAGGAGGCTGGGGCAAGAGGATCACTGCAAGTTTGAGACTAGCTTGGGCTAAAAGTGAGCACAAGGTCAGCTTGAACTGCATAGTGATCCTCTCTCTTAAAAAAAAAAAAAAAATCAGTCTTCTCTGAACCATGTGTTCTTCAAAAAAGTAACTTAATCTATAGGTCATAATTTTTTTTTCACTAGTAGGGATTAAACACAGAGACTCTGTATTAAGCTATATCCCTAACACTATTTATTTATGCATGGCATGTAGTACTGGTGACTCTACTGAACTTAGGAACTCTTATGTGCTAGGCAAGTGCTATATTCCCAGCTTCTAGCCCTTGTTTTATTGATTGTTCTGGAACAGGGTCTTTATAAATTAATTGCCTGGGATGGGTTTGAACCTGAAATCTTCCTGCCTCAGCCTTCTAGGTTTATAGGTATGCTAAACTTTTCACTCAGCTTTTCAGCTCTTTTTTTAAAAAAAATACCTCCACACTTACCAAATCTTCCAATTCTAAGACATTTCTTCAATACTATGTTTTGGAGAAAGAATTTTTCTTTTGAGACAAGTATATGTAATAATACTGAGTGGACCTGTCTTTAAACACAAGGCAACAAAGGCAGAAAATTTTAAAAATATCATCTCGTCATCTCAAACATCTTAATAACACTCCTCAGGCTCACTCCTGTACTTTTCAAACTAAATAATCTCTGTGGTTGCTACAAAAAAAAAAAAAAAAAAAAAAAAAAAAAAAAAAAAAAAATTGAAATCTTTGTGTATTTCTCAGTTTTTTGGCACCTTTCGGATAAGTTAGTATCTTATTAAGCCAGGTGTGGCTCCGACCTGTAACTGTGGCATGGGCATGTGGCAGGTCAAAGCTGTGGATCCCCATGAGTTCAAGGCCACTCTGGACTACACAGTAAGTTCAATGCCAGCCTGCACAGTGAGACCCTATCTCTCTCTTTCTCTCTGTCTCTCTCTGTCTCTCTGTCTCTCTCTCTGCCTCTCTCTGTCTCTCTCTCTCTCTCTCTCTCTCTCTCACACACACACACACACACACACACACATCTCCTTGAAGAAGAGACAAGCAGGAATCTGTATAAACAACTCTACTTTTTTCATATTCTCTCCATTTCCTATTATATCCTTAAAATTCTGCATAGCATCATTTACCTTTGGTCAGGAGTGTACAATTAAACACTTATACTCTCACTATTACTTTGCTTTTCCAACAGTGTAAAACTGTAACATAGTAATTCAACATAGGCATGTAAAAGTAAACAAGATTTTAAAAATTATCTGCTCAAAAAATATAAAATTTTAAAAAATAGGAATGGGTGGAAAAGAAAAAAAAATAAAATCACCTGCTCTCTCCAATCTGTACCCAAGAATTCATTATATTCCTACTTGAATTCAAGAAACAACATTCTCTTGGGATGTGTTAATTTCTCAATAACATGAGATGGCACACAGCCTACTACAGGGACACCCTGTAACCTCCTAACATCTTGGCTATACATGATCCCCTTACATATATTTTCTTTCATCTAAAGGGAATCCTAAAGAAACTGGAATAATAGGAAAGAAACAATACATTCATGATCCAGGAGAAGAGAGACTCAAGAAGAACCAAGGGGAATTACAGACAACCTGGTTTCAGTCCTTCTGGTAACATCTCTAACAATCTTGGGCAACTTAGGACCTCTGCAGTCTTATCGGTTGATCTGTACTAAGAACTTGCATAAGGCCAGAAAGGTATGTAGCAGCAACTAAAGGGACTGTCATCTCTCAAGTGCAAACAACCTTTGAGTACACTTAGTCCAAAAGGTGCAGTTTCATAAAATGCATTCTTAATGAAGTTCCAGAGGGCACTTAAGAAAAAGTGGAGTAGGCGAAAGAGCTTTGAGTTTGGTTTTAGCCTGCAGTTCAAAAAACTAAGCTATGGGTAACAAAAGCACTCTAGCAATCTCACCCACTCCACCCACCCATATATACATACACAGACACACAAAGAGAACTGGATTGCAGTGCTCCTCATCTTTCACTTCTAGAGTAATAAAAAGAGCAAGGAAAAGAAAATATTCTGATGCCTTGAGGTAGATTATACTTGGGAAATAAGGAGTTAAGCATTACTTCTTTTCTGAAACCTTCCAATTTCCAAGGTGCTAATGCAACTCTCACTACTGTAATACCTAGTTTTAAAAATTCAGCAGAATAGGGGTTAAAACCAACCACACCTCAGAAAAAAAGAACCTGGTTCATTGCCACACTCTTTAAAACAAATATGAACAACTCCAAGCTCAATCCATTCAGCTATACACAAGATCTCATGGACATGCCAAAAAAACAGGTGAAAAGAAACTTGAGTTCCCTCAGGTTTCTCACTTTACAGCACCACACTCTTAAACAGATTTCACAAATTTGTGAAACTCTTTAAGTGTTACTACGAAAGTATGCAAAAAAGCCTATGGTAGTAAAGATTTAAATAGTAACAAGTCATGAAGGTCACTACAAAGCAGCAGGAATAACTAAAATTCTGGTGAAGAAGGTCAAACAGTCCCCATGGAAACAAAACCCCAAAGATACACAAAACAGAAGGGACATAGCCAGCAGAACCAGAAAGTTTTAGAAGGAAGGCTCTTGAACTACAAGGTCAATTCTTACTCTAAGGAGATACAGAAAAATACTGCTTTAGTCACCAATGGGGAAGGGGATATCACCACTATTAACTCTGTATTTGTGAAAACGAAGGTGTTGAGCAGATAAAAACGGGCAGTTACTGACAGCCTGTATGTCACTTGAAAGGAGTCCAGGAGCACCTGGTCTTGCTAGAAATAGGGGGAAGAGATGAGTCACTATTTTATTTCTGCTTAAGTATGCTCCAAATCCCAACCCTCTAGGTCAAAGAACATTTTCTTGCTGTTTACATCACTTTCTCAGTTTTCTGATAAACTTGTAATATTACTTGTACAGTCAAAATAGTGAGGGAGCCAAGAGAAAGCAAGAGGTAAGTTGTAAGCCATATGGTTGTTAGAAAGAGATTCTAAGGTTGTCACATAAATACCTGGAAAAGACTAAGTAAATAACCAGTTAACAACTAGCAAGTAATAAGACCGAAATGCTTTCCCTCCCTTGAACACCGTTCAGTATCTTTTACAGTTCTTACAGTGAAGAAAAGGCAAATAAATCCCTAGAGAGAAGAGTAAGAAAGATTTAATATGGGCAAAAGGTAGTAAGATAGGACAGCTCCATGAATATCAGTACTCCCTCTGACTTGGAAGTAACTGGCACCTGAGGAAAAGGGATGTCAGTAACCTTGGCACACAGAAGGAGGCAGAAGGAGTGGCAGATGGTTATCATAGGAAATGTATAAAAAGCAATTCAATTACTCATAAACTTCTTGCGACTAGGGAGTCTAACTTCCTCCCCACAGGGGAGGTTTATCACCATCCTGGGTCAAGAAGGGCATAATTATGAGAAAAGTTCTAATCCCCTGAAAAGTTAGCGAGCAACAGGGCAAAGACACTGCTTCTGTGGACAGCGAAACAGCAGGAAACCAATCATCATTCTAACCCAGACCGTAGGACCTGGGCAGGAACCACTCTCCTGGTAATCACAAGGACAAGCGTCCCAGGGAGGAGGGGCAGCAGGGCTCAAGCCAGGTAACATTCCTTAGGGGAAGGATTATTAGGTGACACCCGGCGAGGGCCGGGACGGGGAAGGGGCTGGAGGAAAGTTAGCAGGTGAAAGAGACCGATCTTGAGGAAGTAACCTCAGCAGAAGGAAATACGGGAGTATCAAAACATGGGGCTAAGATGAGGAGAGAAAATGGATCCAGAACAGCACAAGCGACCGAAAAGAGAAGGCGTGTTTGGGTACTAGAGGCAGAAGAAAGGAAGTGTGGCTGAGAGGCAGCGGGGCCACGGGGGCGGTGGGACCCAGCCTGCAGCTGGGGCGCGAGGGACGCCGCGAGGGTGCCGGGGCAGAGCAGGGGGACTCGGGGCTTCCCGAGGTCCCGAGAGCGAGGATGTCGGGCTGTGGAGAGAGCACCGGCGAGACCAGGTGGGGAGGCGCGGGGGCGACTCCCTAGGACCGGGAGGGCGTCCCCGGGGCCGCCCGCGAGGGTCGCTGGAGCCCAGAGGGTGGCTATCGGGCCGCGCTGAGGGAGCAGGATGGGAGGGACACTCACAAATTTCTTGGATTTGCCGCCGTCGCCGCCCGTCGCAGGCAGCTCATCCGGGCTCCGGCCCTTCTTCTTCTCCCGGGTCCCGCGGCCGGGCCCCTGGCTCCCACCGGAGGGCTCCATGTCCCGGTTCGCGCCGGCCAGCGACCCCACGCCTACACTGCGCCCGCCCGGCCGCTCCGCGCTAGCCGCCACCGCCGCCCAGCAGCTTCTCAGCCGGCCGCCGCGCCCCGCCTCATTAGCATGCCGAGCTGCGCGCGCCTCATGAATATACAACGGCGACGCCTCGCTCCCGCCCGCCTGCCCCACTTCCGCCCGGACCCGCAGCCCCTACCAATGGGGGGAAGGGAGGGGGTGGAGGGAAGCCGCGGAAGCGCGCTACCTGCCCTGCGGACTTAACCATTCGGACCCACGTGGGGGGGAGGGTGGCGAGTAGGCGGTGCAGCTCTCTCGGCCACACAGGGAACACTGCCCCCTGGCGGACGGAACCAGCGGGCTCCTTGGCTCCTGCGCAGCGCCCACGTGGTTGTAAAGCCTAGACCATCTCACAACCCAAAGCAGGGTATGATCTAAACCAAAAACCGCATGACAGGCTGTTATTCTATCATGAAATTTGTGCTGGGCGTTCTTGGATAACTCAGTTTACTGTTGTAATACCTTTGGAACAAGCACATTTTTTAAAAATGTAAGTGCATAGCTACCACATATTTTCAAAGCTGTGTGCCAAGAACTTGATCCAGTTGAAGTGCTAGGCTCTACTGCAATGCTGCTGAGTTCTGAATCCAGGATGCCTCTGTTTCTAATATGGACAAACTTGTTACTGCCAACAACCAAAGCAGTAGTAATAGCCACCAGCTGCCTAGACCTGGCACTTAGGTGACCACTATATTTTTCTCACTCAACCCCCACAATACCATATGATCGCTTTCAGCCACACCGTTTTACAGATAAGAAATTTGGATCTAAGTTTCCCCAAGTACTGTATGAGTTAATCTGGAAATAGGGCCAAAAGCAGTATATTTATTTATTGAAGATTAAACGTCATCAACTTTAATAAATTCCTACAAATTAAAAAAAGAAAAAGAAATTTGTGCATCAGGGTGTGAAAGAGACTGCCTAAAGGATACACGATTTATACGAAGCTTAAACTCAGATTAGTCTGACTACCAAACCCTGTGTTTAACCAAGCTTTCCCCACTGGCATAAGCCAAACATGCCTAAAAGGATGGGTTCTCCAAGCCTATGATCAGCTGTTTCAGCAGTTTCTTCCACTCTCCTGGCTACATCTGTCCCCTCTGTCAAGAGCAGTGGCACAGAGTAGGTCCTCACAGTATAGACTGAATCTTAACCACAGTTGCCAAAAGATTTCAAATGTACACCCCTGGAGAGCTGAGTGACTAACCCCCGGGTCCTCTGTGCTCAGTGCTGGCCCTGCTCTCACCGGGGACTGCTACTCTGGATGGATACTGCGCCTCACCTCCAGCCTTCCTGTGCTCCAGACCTTCTAACTGCCTGATGCAAACATGCAGCACAGAGCTGTCTAACCCATACAAGAAACTCAGTTTGTCTAAAACAGTTCACAAGTTACTTACATTCTTAAGCTAGGGTGTTGAGAATCAGACTGAAGAGGGAAGAAGGGACCCATCTGTTAGTCCTCTTTCCTGTACCACTATTGACATCTGCCACCCCATACTGACTACAATCTTCCCAGAGAAGGGTCCATGTTTGCAGGGGCTCCACTACCCCTCACTGATCTCCACAAAGACAGTTAGGGAGCAACTTTTACAGCAGCTGTATACTAAGTATTTAACCATGTTCTGTCATCTCAGTGTTTCTTCACCAGCTAGCATCATCCTACCAGTTCCATGTCCAAAAATCTGAAGTTATCTGCCACACCCTCAAAAGCTAGTAATCTGCCTAGGTTTGTCTACTCATAACCAGAATGCTCTACTAACTCCCTATACAGAGTAAAATAATCCTGATTGATTCTGGCCATGTGACACTGGTGGTGTTAAAGGTGAGCAAAGCTTCTTTCCACATAGAACACACAGAGTGCCTATCAAGGGGTGCTGAATATTAGCTGGGATTTTAATTATCTGCATTATCATCTCTGTCCCTTCTCCAATCATATATATAGTTAATAAGAATTAATATTTCCAGAAAGGTACAAAAAATACCAACTTGGTTTATTGGATAAAAACAATGGTAAAATGGATATAAAGCCAAAAGTTAGAACAGGACATTTTCACATCCTTCCCCTACTCAAAACTGCACTTCCCATAAACCAGCGTTATGGTGTTTAGAGCTAGAGCCCTCGAGCCCCCACTCTTCACTGGCCCTAGAAGCAAGGCCTACAATAGAACCCAGGAAAGGAGGACATCAGAATCAACCTCAGTCCTGTCTATCTCTTGTCTTTACATCTCTGGGTTAGAGGGAAGCAGGGAAGGAACAGTGCCGAAGGGCGGGACTGGCCTCTAGGAACCCACTGCCCACAAACTGTCCTTCTCCCCATCTCATCCCTAATAGGCATAATCATCAGGTGGTGGGAGATGAAGAAAAGGGGGTGGATGGTTCTAGAACCACGTGTGGTCTCCAAATCCTTCCCCAGAGTTAGTAACAGTCCTCAAAAGTGACCAGCCTAGGGCTGGGAGAACCACAACTTTTCTCTTCCACCCAACCAACAGGTGAAAAGGAATCCCTTGGGACATAGCACCCCAAGCTGTTCTCAAATCTCCACATCGCTTTCCTTGTCGTTGTCATGGTCTCCATCATAGAATTCATTGGGTGCCTCTGGCCTGCAAAGCAAAGGGCAAGAGGTCAGACACTCACTGTCCAGGCTCCACTGTTCTCCCCATACCCCCTGCAGACCTATTTCTCAGGTTATCTCCATCAGGAACCATTTCTCTCTTCCTGTTGGTGGACAAGGATTGTAAAAGATCCATCATTTGTATATTTAATAAATATTTAGAGGCTATTCTGTGGTAGACATTGTCAGTAGCTTTAGCAATACAGTAGCGAATCAATCAGACAAGGTTTCTGTCTCCTCAAAGAGCTCACCTAACAAACAAGACCAAACTTAACAATGCAAAGAAATATGAAAGCTTCAGACAGTGAAGAACTGTCATGAATAAAATGAAATTAAGTGATATAACTGAGAGTGCTGGGAGGAATCAGATAAATTCCAGACAAGATTATTATTAGCAAAAGTTCTAAAAACAGAAGGCCTGAGGTTTAGGAAGAAGCTGGCAAGGCAGAGACCTCAGGAATAATGTGCCAAGCCTCACAATGTGGAAGGAAACAGGTATTCCAGTAAGACAAGGAGGTCAGGATGGCTGGGTGGAAAAGTATGAGCGGATCAGGAGCCAGATGTGATGGCGTATGTCTGTAATCCCAGCACTCAAGAGGCTGAGACAGGACTGCCACAAGTGAGGCCGGCCTGGGCTACACATTGAGTGCAAGGCCAGTCTGAGCTACATAGTGAGAACCTTCTCAAAAACAAAATGGATTGCTGGTCGGCCCAGCCCCTGGGGCACGCTGAGACAGAGACTGAGACTGTGCACGGGCACGGTGACACGCGCCTGTAATCCCAGCTCTTCACAGGCTGTAAACAAGCAGATCACTATGAGTCTGATCTTGTAGTGAGATGCTGAACACCCTATAGTCCCTTCCTTAAAATGCAAAAAAAAAAAAAAAACAGGTAAGACTGGGAACATAGTAAGTAGGGATCAGGTAAGGCCAGCACATAGGACTTTTTTTTTTTCTTATTTTAGCACATAAGACTTTTAAAGTAGCAATCAGGAACTTGAGTGTTCTTCTAAGTGCAATGGAAAGAAAAGTCCTACGCAGAGAAATGACACAAACTTGATGTGAAAGCAGCACAAGGCCAGTAAAATATTCAATACTGATTTCTTTTTGAAAAACTATCCTCTTAGAGAATTGAGAAAGACATTAAGAGAAGTTAAGGAACTAAGCCACGTAAGGCCCAATCCCCTTGGTGAGCCATGTGTCAGTTATCTCTACAAGCATGAGGGTTAGAGGTATGAAGTCAGACACTCAGGTTTGAATCTCAACCCTGATAATTGGCCAGCTCTGTGGCCCTAGGAAAGTTACTTAAGCTTTCTGAGCACCAGATTCTTCCTCTGATAATATGAGGATGAGAGCCACTTCTTGGCACTATCTCACAGCAACAGAAAGAAGACCTGATATGTACATTGTATTATAGAGCATTTATCTGGTGCTTAGCAAACATACAAAAGTGGTAACTCTCCTTGTTAGTGTTCTGCAAATTGTAGGCAAGCCAGAGCTATCGGCATCACAGAAGAACAGGAACCAAAGACTGACTAGTCGGCCCTGAGGTAGGCCTTGGGAACAGGAAGAGGCCTGAGGCTTCTGCTAGCTGTTCAAAGGGTGTGACACAAAGCAAAGACCACACTCACCAGCCTGGAACTACAGATGAAACAGCAAACTGGCAAAAAGAAAAATAGATTTTGCCAAACCAAATCAGCTGATAAAAATCAACTGCCAGAAGTCGAGTTTTTTCATTTTTTGTTCTTTTGATTGATGGTAGCAGTATGTAGCTCTGGTTGGCCTTGAACTATGTAGCCCAGGCTGGCCTCAACCTCCATTTTCTTGCCTCCGCCTCCTGAGTGCTAGGATTATAGGTGTGAGCCACTATGCCTGGCCACAAATTTAAAGGCCCAGAGAAGTTGAGATGATTGTTCAAAACAGAGTCCCCTGAGGCCAGATATTTTGACTGCTTCTCAGTTAGGCCAAGTATGAGGGGACATTCACAAAGGACAGTAAAGACCAGGTACAGACGAGAGATATGGAGGAACTAAGTCATATAAGCCCTATCAGGGGCTTGAACTTAACACCCAGGACTTTTTTAAAGGGACTGAGAAACCCATCAGATTGCAGCAGAGGCAACTTCAGCCTCTGCCAGGGCAGCTGAGCAAGGCTGGCTGTCCTACAACTGGCCGCTGCGGTCAGGCGCACAGGGGAACTTGTGGGAGCAAATGCGTCTGCCTCTGCGCTTGTGGGTCCTGCTGTCTATTACCTTTATTTTTCAGAAAAGCTTATTTGGGGATTTAAAAAAAAAAAAAAGTATACTAGTATCTTTCTTCTAATTCAGCCCCTCTATAAATATTTTAGTAGGTATATCAGACAGATAGGCTTTTTCTGAAAAAAAACAGAACCACAATACAATTTTCAAATCTGCAAAAAGGGACAGAGTGGAGAAATCAGAACCCT